TTCAAGGTCAATCTTTTCCCGTCTCAACTAAAGGAGAGAAGAAAGTTTTACTGAGAGTGGTAGGTCACTTAAACTTTGTTAATTAGACTTTTTGATTGGACCATTAGGACCCCCTTACTTGGAGAAAACTGCAAAGACATGACCAATTTTCTGGCATAAATACATTAAATACATGCAGTTTTTAAACTTGAATCGAGAAAACCAAAACAGGTTCATTTTTGGATGTTAATGCTTAGTTGTCTGGTACATGAATTACATTTATTGTTTCAGCATTTATCCAAGGCACATGGAAAGTCTTCCTTCAAGAAGATTTGGGGGAGTTCTATTTACTAGCCATACCAGAACTTTTCTGGGTTTGTCCCTTAGTCCCGCGTACAGTTCAATGTTAAACAAGAAAGGTCCCAAAAGAACTCTACATACTGGCTGATGGATGTACATAAATATGTACTAAGATATAAAAACATACACGAGAATGATAAACAACAAATTCACAATACTGGTTATCTCTGCAGATATAGGGGAAAAGGGAAATCTGATTTGGGGGAGGGTTGGGGAGGGAACCCCAAACTATATTCTATTTCATAAAACAAAGCAAACACAGAAAATTCATTTAATCAACTGATACGGAGCAATATGCAATAAATACTGAGGACGATGACAGACACTGGATAATAGGGATGACACAGCAATGCAGCGAAGAGTCAGACATTTCTGCCCTCATGGAACTTACATTTTAGGGGGTCAAGATAAAAACTGAAACAAGTGAATTATATACTTGTAAAAGAGTGTCAAAGTGATATGAAGAAGAGGGCTGATGAGAAGGACAGGAAGTGCACTGACAAACAGATTTCACAGCAACGAGTAGGGGGAATATTGTATCATTTTCTGTACCTGTATGTTTGAGATATTTTAAAAGGAAACTTTTTTTAAAGACAGCAAGCCTATGTTGCTGCCCTCATGCTGTCTCTTCAACCTTTTCAATCGCTGAGTCAACAAATTATTTTTGATTGCACAGCTACAGGGATGTCAACAGATTTCACATTTCCTTAGTGAGTCACAGAGGCAAGCTCCACATTGATCAAAAACCCCTGTGTATACAGTAAGGTGGAGCCAACAGAGGGTATAAAATGTAGTCTTTTGAAGCAACCAAAGCATCCAACTTCGAAAAACAACATCTGAAGTGCAGTTTTATTTTTACACCCAAATACAGTTCTCCCTTCTGAAACTGCTCCCATGGTAGCTCAGTCTTAAGAAGCACAAATCTCAACCCCTATAAATCACCAACCCAGTCAAGGTCCTTAAGGAGCCCACAGAGGGCAACAGACTTGTCTGTATTCACACAAGGAGCACAGGACAGACCTGTAAGAGCAAGTGGTTACTTGTTCCACTTCTGAGCTAGTATGAATATCCATAAAACAGGTTGTCTTGAAACCTAAACAATCAAGGAAATGATGTAAGCACAATGAAATGATCGTGCCTAAGTTTGGGGTGGGAAAAAAGGTCAAATATGTGGAGAAAACATTCTCACATGGCAGCACAGATCTCTAGGCTTTCTTTTCTTCCCCTGAAAACCATAAAAACGGCTGTAGAAATGACTGGATATTTGAATAAAATATTTCCTATAGCTTTAGGTATGTGTAAAGCAGCAGCCAATGCATTAGAAGGGACTCCTAGAATTATGCTTCTCTCTTTCAGAAAGGCAGTGGAGTGATGTGGTTATGATCACAGACTTTGAGCCACATGCCTGGGTTCAAATATTGACTCCACAAATGCTAGTTACATGTCTGGAAAACTATTAGACATAATTTCATCACTTATCAAATAAGGGATAAATTAAATGAGTTCACTCATGCAAATCATTGATAACTGATTGCACTTAGAAAGTGCTCAATACCTGTTGGCTATGATAATCACCATCTCTGGATCATCATCTGTTCCAGCCCTCTAGAACTTAAGCTTACATTCTTGTCTGTTTCGTTCATTGGTGTATCTCACTGTCTACCACAACATCCAGCACCTTACAGGCCATGAATAAACATTGGTAAGCTTATATGACAAGAGAATGAACCAAGATCACATAGTAAACTGAAAACAGAGCTTCAAAATATTTTATTTGCATGGCGGAATGTGACACTGAAGACAAAAAAAGAAGGAAGAGGGCAGGAAGTCAAAATAAGTGAGAAGGG